CCTCTAGAGTTTGCAAAATGATCTTGAGGCTGAACAGGTGAAAGTAAATTCCTTAACCCACATGGTGGTAATTGTTGATGAAAACAGTGGTGAGAATGCAACAGCTGTTCTGGAAGATCAGTTACAGGTAAGAAACCTGCAAAGTAGGGCAGTTCTGGAGGACCTATGTTCCAAGACCCAATTGTGTTCCTCCTGGGCTTTAAGTCCTAAGTCATTGTTTATCCAAAAGGGTAGAAAAACTACTGTATTAGTCAGCTATTCATTATTATAAGAAAACACTGGAGACAGACTACTTTATAAAGAAAAGAGATTTATTCAACTCACAGTTTTGGAGGCTGGAAGTCCAAAGATCATGGCATAGGCTCTGAGAGAGACCTTTGGCTGAATCACATCATAGAGGGAGAACAGATATATCTTTTTGTGTGGTCTCTCTTTCTGTTCTTATAAAGCTACCAGGATTCAATCATGGTGGCACCAACCTAATAATCTAATCTGTTCACTTGTCAGAGGACCTGCCTTACATAGCATGATCAGATTAAGTTTCTTCCTCCTTAATATCCCTAAATGTTAAATGTCTGCCATGAATTGTGGTGGGTTGGAGGAAATCGTAGCACCTGCCTTTGGTTGACCTTCCCAGTTGGGGTACCATGGCATGTGATTTACAGGAGTGCCCAGGTACTGACTTCAGCCTGTGGGGTGAATGGGTGAGGCTGCTTGCCCAGCTTCCTTGTGTACAGTAGTGACAAGATTGGGAAGCCTAGGAATGCATCACAAATGGTCTCCAGACCTTAATCAAAAATACTTAAAGAATTTGTAGAGTGCTTCAAGATGTGGATTCCAGCCCCATGCAGACCTGAAATCTTGCACTGCAGGGAGCTGGGGAAAAGATGGCCCGTGGATGTTCACTGTACAAAAATCTGTATATGCATACTAGAATTCGAGAATCTCAACTATATAGGATTTAACATCCCCCCCCCTTTTTTTTTTGATAGATCTGTGTGTGGGGTAAACAACATTTTGGGGAGGCCCAACAAAATGCTTCTTTTTCAATGAGGTGATAGTATATTTTTGCAGTTCTTTTTTTTGTCAGTGCTGGGAATTGAACCCAGAGGTGCTCCTCCACTGAGCTACATCCCTAGCCCTTTTGATTTTTTATTTTGAGTTAGGGTCTGCCTAATTTGCCTTTAACTTGTGATCCTCCTGCCTCAGCCTCTCGGGTAGCTGGAATTATAGGCATGTGCCACCGTGCCCTACAATGTTCTTGAAATTTAAATAGACAATAGGTTACCATCCTGAAACTGGAGGGCTTTCTTCTGGCTCTACATTCTCTACCTTTGCTGCATAAAAAGATTACATTGGTAATTAAATATCAAAATAGTATAATATGAATTGACTCTTGTTCACATATAAGTAGTGTGTAAATTTTTAACATTTGTCAATCATTATTTATAAAGTGGTAATAAAATTTTTAGGAAAAACCATTATGAAGGACTTTTTAAAATAGATTAACCAAATTTATTTAGTATTGCTTATACTTGTAAGATTCTGTTGCTTATTTATGTGGAGTTTTCTATGAATTATGTGATATAAACACAACAATCTAATAAGCATTTTATTTTGTACAAATTCTCTTATTCAGAATGCTTTTATAAGTTTAAACATTTATCATAATTTTGGTACTGTAGATGAAAACTTTCTTGGCATTGTAAAAGATAAAGAAATAAAACTGATAGACTGCAATTTTTAAGAAAACCATTATAGTCTGAAAAAAATTGAAGTACATAGAGTAAACATGTTTACTCTTTTGAAGATGTATGTAGGGCTGGGGATGTGGCTCAAGCGG